TGCAAGTTGATCTTGCAGGTGGATGTAGTTAACATGGGATTTAGGACTATGGGTAGTTTATACTGGGAGAGAGAAGCCTGGCTTCTGGTGAGTCTGCAGCTGGCCCCAGCTGGTCATCACGGTGTCCACAGGACATCAGCTTTGGCTGTGTTATGGAGAGTAGCCAGGTGTTGTCACACATCCAACATTTAAACAAGTGGGAATGACTTGGCAACAAGGGAAGGTGCAGAGTTCTGTATCTGGGGAGGAACAGCCCCAGGCACCAGCTGGAAAGCAGTTTTGCAGAAGAGGACCTGGGAGTTCTGGTGAGCACTGTACTGAGCATGAGCCTGCAGTGTGCCTTAGTGACTAAGAATTGGTATCCTGGCTGCATTCTGCCAAGTGTTGTGAACAGGTCAAGGCTTCCCTTCTGCTCAGCTCTCATGAGGCCACACCCTGGAGTAATGTGTCCAGTTCTGAGCTCCCCAGTACAAGAGAGATCTGAATATGCTGGGGAGAAAGAGTCTAGTGAAAGGCTGTGAAGATGATTAAGGGTCTGGGGAGCACCCCTCCTGTGAGGGGAGGCTGAGAGAACGAGACCTGTTCATCTTGGAGAAGGCTCGTCAGGGATCGCATCAGAGTCCTAAAAAGACACTCCTGAAGGGAGGGTGCCAAGAGGATGCAGCCAGGCTCTATTCAGTGGTACCCAGTGCCAGGACAAGAGGCAGTGGGCACAAACTGGAACACAGGAGGCTCTCTCTGACCACCGGGAAGCACTTCTTTACTGGGAGACTGGTATAGAGAAGCTGTGGAGTCTCCTTGGAGGTCTTCATTAGCTGTGTGGACGTGGCCATGGGCCCCCTATGCTGGGTGTCCCTGCTTGAGCAGGGGTTGAGCCAGAAGGACCCAGAGGCCCCTGCCACCTTCATCCATCCTGTGATCGTGTGACCAGACCAACTGCACTTGAAAGCAGCTGTGCTGGAGGTGGCAGGACCACCTCCATGCCATCTTCCATGCAGACAGAACATTTTTAAAGAGAGCCTGATCTTCAATAACAGTTCCCTGTTTTGTCCTTTAAAGAACTTGAAGATAGTTCTCCACTTGCTCAGAGAAGGTTATCAGTACATTCTGGGTACCTCATGTCTGCTTCTCAGTTCAGTTCTGCTTTTTCAGCCTCCATTTTTAAAACAGAAACTCTTGCTTATGTACACTGGTTTGTTCAGCAGGAGAGCTGTTTGTCATTTTCTCCTGTTCCTGCAGGACGTATACAAAAGAATTTTTTCATTCTGCTATGACCACAGATGTGAAAAAATAAGCAGAAATCTCATTCTTAGCAGTGACTCGAGTCTCTGAATGTTAGACAAATAATGTTTATTGTGCAATTCACTTGTATGGCTTTTTCTACGGATTTCTTTTTTCTTTAAAGCCCAGTTCATAGTAGCTGTATTTGTGCAGCCAGCATCATGTCACATTTGTTTCCATGGAATGACAAACTAGGTGGTGAGCTTGGCTGTCATGCTGATAGCCCGTAAGCAGTATCATAGCCAAGATGCAAGGCAGGAGGCTTTTATCAATACAGGCCTACGGAGAGTGTTTTTGTTGTAAAGCACAAAGGTGTGCCACTGAGTTTGTTTCTTCGTTCTGACAGAGCTAACGGCAGCCTGGAAACAAAACACTCGAAATGCGCAGCTTTTTATGCAAGTGGAAGCAATGGAACCATTATCGGTGACCTTAGCTTTCTCATCTTGTTTTGCAAGCTAATTTTATATTAATTTCAGGCATAGCTTTAATCTTTGTCAGTAGGGCAGCAGCAGTGGAGTTTCCCTTTAACTATTGATTTCCAATTTGTTTTAATCCTCTGACTGTCCTCCTGCAGAATGAAGACTGAAGCATATTTTTTTTCATATTAATTTATTTCCTAAATTGGAATTGTCAAAGTTTGCAAAGGGACTGATCTGGGATATATCAGTGCTGTCTTCTCAGTGTAAATAGGATTGTTCAAGCGTGATCCTTGGTGACTGTGGAAGGCTTTGCAGGTCAGGGATAAAGTTGTTTGAGGTAGAAGAGGTGCAGTCTTAACATGAGGTGTTTGATTTTCCTGAAGGAGAAGGAGAGTTGCCATTTTAGAAAAGCATGTAATTTAAGCCTTTACTGAGTTCTCTTCAAATTAAATGCTTGCACAAGAATTATTTCAGTTCTGGATGTACTTGTAATATCAGAGACTTTGAAAGAGTAACAACTGCATATTGTAACCTGGTGGCTTAGACCTTCATGAGTGACAAAATGGGAGACATTTCCTTTCTCATCAAGATCTGAACTGCAGAGTGGATGTGGACTTGAGTTGGAACAAGTTTAACCAACAGAGGGACAGACTTTTCTTCCTAAAGAAAATAGGTATAGTTCTTTGGTTTTGGTGCCTACAGCCTGAGGTGCAGGAAGAAGTAATGTTCAGCAGGATTGGAGCTTATATGGCATTTGAAGTCATTTTAACATGTTTAGAATGGTTAAGAAAGTAATCTTATTGGTTGGGTTTTTTTGTTTGTTTGGTTTTTTTAAAGCTGCAAAGGTTGACGAGCCAAAGTATACGTGAGCAATAGCTGTTGAGGATATTTATTTCCATGATAACTAAAATGTGGATTTCTTAACACTTTGGGATTTGCATTTTGATGCTCTGCTGTGGCTTGAAAGGGATTATGCGTATAAACTCAGTGTGCAGTGGTGGCTGATTGTGTGAAATGACATTTGGTGCTACATTTGCTTTTTTATTATACAAGAATGAGGTTTGGTTTTAGTTTCAGTGATTTAAAAAAAGGTACACTCCTAAAGTTGAGAAGTTTAATGATGTTTCCCTCTCTTTATTGCTGTAAATTGTTAAGTGATGCTGATATCTGAAGATAGTAAGAAAAGAAATTGGATTTTTTTTGTTATGTTTTATTTGCCTCGTTACTGCACATATGATATGAGAAGCAAACTCAAGAATTACACTTGTGTTACCCTTAGGAAAAATTGCTTTTTGTTCTACAATGGAAATACACACCAACACTTCAAAGAGTCTCAGAAAAGGTCTGAGATACAGTGCTTGCATATCCATCTTTTAGCTTTGAGGGCTTTTTAGAAACTGAAATACCTTTCCACACACAAATAAAAAGAAACTAGTTGAAAACGGAATGATGTCGGGAGGGAGAAAATTAATATCCTCAGGCTTGACATGGGAGGCTGCTTGGGCACATTGTGTAAGTCATGTGAGGCATCTGCATCAGAACATAAGCAGGCTGAAAGAGTGATCTGCTAAAAGCACAGAAGAGTTATTCAGACTACAAAGCATAAGGATATCTGCCTCTAATGAATCCAACAGAAAACAACTGAACTGTGTTGGGTCACACACAAACTGAATACCAAGATCTTAAAAGGACTTTGAAGAGCAGAGAGTGCAGTGTAAAACTAAGTGATAAACTGCGAGCATATCAGAAAGTGGGTAGCACTGATTGACGTGTAGGGCAGACGAAAGCACGTTTAAAAAAAAAAGAAAAAGTTATGTATTTTAGGAGAATATGGACAGGTGCTTCACTGAGTGATGACGATGAGGAGGTGTCATCTGCTGAGACAACTGAGTACAGAGATGCCACTGTGCATCTCAGAGTGTAGCTCGTGCTCTGAGGAGGTGACATTGCTGGCAGAGAGCGTGCTGCATGCCATAGTGCTGCTGCTGGGACTTGTGAATTTCCATGCTGCCTTTTGGGGGTTTCACTTAAAAGAAGATGGAATCTGGCAGAAAGCAAGCAGTGATTTTGAATAGCAGCGATGGTCCTGAAAGGGTGAGAGCTCCCCAGGGAGCAGTTTCTCTCCTTAGCACACTCAGCTCACTTCTTTTGCCTTCTTTCCTCTTGCGGGATGAGCACAGCCATCCTGCAGTGCTGTTCACAAGCCCGTAACTAATTTTACTGTGTCAGTCCACCCTTCCCAAAAATTAGCCCTTTCTTGATAAATGTTCATCTTTAGCTTCTCCTGGATTTGCAACAGTGGAAAAAAAATAATGGAAAAAATCAGTGGTTAGCCTTTGGGGTGTTTCATGAGATAACTGTATTATTTATAAATAATTTATGACTTTGAAGCTACACTCTTTTTCTCTCCAGATTATATGTCTTGTATAACCGAATATTATGATTTACCTTAAATTGCCCATCCGACATGCATCACAAATCTTTGCATACCACTTTCTTTTCTCCTGCATGGCCTTCACTTGTGGATAGGAGATTTGCATAAAATGATTTCTTCATGTAAATGTGATCAGGCTGAGGCTCCAGCGTCTTGTTATAACATATGTACCAATTCCCTTGAATTGGGTTAGCATCTACCTCAGTAATTGAATCTATTTGTTAGTTGCTGTAGTTTTCAGAATTAGCACCAAGCAGGATGTGTGCTCTTTGGTGCTTTTGCAGCAGTCTTCTCATTTTTGTCTCGTCCTAAGACTTCATTTAAGTGAAACACAAGACAGGGCTGGGAAGGGATCCTCACTGAAGCTGCCCCCGGCTCCTGCTCAAATGGCTTCGAGGGCTGCCCCTCGCCTTATCTCCACTGGCCCTGACCAGGCAGCTGGCCCCAGTCCAATTAAAAAGGTGTGTGTAAGCCAGAGAGATAAGGGTCCATGTCATCTAAGCAGTTACTTTGGGCCCTTCAGCAGAAGAAGAGCACTGGAAGCTGCATTTAATCTCTAGGAGATAAGGAGGCATTGAATAATATGTTGATTCTGAGCTGAATTCTGTGGCTATATGTTTTGGGAGTAACTATCTTTAAATGCAAAGCTGGTGGTAGAAGTCCTGAGCAGGTACAGTGATGACGAAAGTCATGGTGAATGGATTGGCCAGATCTTGCTCAGGCAGCCTTGGGAACTGCCATGAGTGACTATGTGGAAGTGCTCTTCAGTGGGGATTGAGTCCCTTTTCTTTTTCCTGGTTTGAGATAAAAGCTTCTTCCTAACCTTGAGCACAACCTCACTGACTCTCCACTGTTCCAAATTGCAGGATTGTGATTCTCTGCTGTTCAGACAGAGGAGAAGAGGTTGATCAGAAGGAAGCTGACGGTTGTCTGAGGAACTCAGCACGACAAAACCCTGGTAGTTTGGCACAGGGTCAGTTTGAATTCAGCTTTGCCTGTTTTATCTGTCTGTGGAGGGGCTCATGCAGCCTGCTTTCAGCCAAGGAACTGAGCTGGACCTGATACCAAGGTGGTTGGATCCTGGTTCATGTGTCATTATTCCCACAGTAATGCAGGTGGCTCTGCCTGAAGCCTCTGGCCTAAAGATGGTCTTGCAAGAGCAGGACCTATATTTGTATTGTGCTGCCCTGTTGTAACCACCTTTGAGTCTGGGCAATCCAGAAACTGGACAGTATTACCCTGGTCCTGCTGGTTTTAGCCCTGCCTTTGTATAGCATGGAGCATTGTTGGTTTTTTATTTTGTATTTATTGTTTGTTTGTTTTTACGTCAATCACTGGTTTTGGCAGAAGCTCTTAATCCATGGTTTCTCCTTCCATGTTCAGTTTGTTTTCTTTCTGTTCTTCTAGTTCCTTGTATAGCTGTCCCTCCCCAGCTTCTGTGATCTTGCTCTTACATCCTTGTCTCTCCTTCACCTGAAGCATGAATAAATGAGATAATGAGACACAGGCCAGTCATCCCAATTACTCTGTATATGAATGCATATGTATGTTCTTGTATCTCTCTCATCTCTCATCTTTCTGTCTTTTTATATGGCAGTCTCTGGAGGATGGGATTATCTTTTGGTCTGTATCTAGCATGTTGACTCTGCTCCAGTATGAATAGAATTGACTAATGGTATATATATTTTGAAAAGCTGGATCTGCATTGCGGTGTTCATGTGGGCTAGTACTGCCCAGCACATTACCATGAAACCTTAGCTACTCATCACTGTCAAGTGTTTCCCTGCATCCAGTCTCTGATTGTACAGTTCTGATTTTTGTACAGCTTCTAATAATTTATGATGCATTTTATATTGATGTTAATGTGTTCTGAGTAAAAGTTTATGGGAAAGATGTGCTCATTTAAGTAATGGTGATAGCATTTTGGTCAGGTATGTAGAAAGCGCAGAAATTTTCAAGTAATTTTTTTTCAAGGCTTCTCCATCTTTCAGTAATTATCAGATAGATAATATGAGCTTGCCAGATCCAACATGCTCATGATTGCCTTCCAGCTTTTAAGAGGGACAGAAATTATACACTAACTGTATCTGAACAAGATTCTGCTTTGACAGCGTGATAAAACGTGCAATACTTTGCTTTCTTGCACTTTCATAAACATCTATTAGCATATCCCTGGTCTGTCAATACAGAAAATAATGTAGATGAAGCTGAATCTACTTCAAGAGTACTCAAATGGTTATTGATGGCTTAGGAATGCTGTGTTATCAATAGCAGATGAACTGCTTTGCTGTTGTCTGACACTTTATAGGGGTGTCTCATGAATCATTTTCAGATAAAAGGTAAATGTTCTTGCTGTCCAATTTTGCTCCTCTTAAATTGCTACATTTTTCAGCTCTGTCTGCACATTTCCGGAAGGAGAGCTTCCCGGTGGCAGAGGTGCAAGGTGTTTTCTTACTGAGATGCCTTTTTTGAACTGGCTCTGAATTGTGTTGCTTGATTAAAGGCAAGTCTGCTGAGATCTTAGCACGCGATGATCATCTGCTGTGCTCTGTATTCCACAGACAACTCAGCTCTGGGCTGGGCTGTGCCATTGGGAGGAAGGTAAAGAGAAGGGTGATGGGTATCCTTAAATGTACCACATACTCTTGATGTCTTGCAATTGAATCTGGAATAATGGGCAGGAGAGCACACTGAGTATGATGCCACTGGCCATTTCGTTTGTTACACCTCACTGTATCTCACCTATAGAGAAATAATTTGAAGCCCAAAAACTCCCCTGCGATGGAGGTTCTTTTCAGTATACATTTTCTTTTAAAATGCAGTGGGAGATTTATGTAGAGGGACACAGAGAGCTCTGGTCTCTTGTCTTCATTGCTATTGTGCTGGGACACAAGGAAATCAGCTCTTATATTTTTGACTAATTGGAATACTTTTGCTTTTTTTCTTGTCTTTCCTGTCGTTCCCCTAATTTCCCCCACCCTCTAGGATCTCCTCTTGAATTGACTCTGGCCAATTATATGAAATTAGGTTTTATTATGTGAAATTAGACTTTACTGGAATGACTGTATCACAGAGCGGTGAGATCTCCCCCCTCTTCATTTCTCCAGAAGCTGAAGAGGCTGCTGTTGACATCTAACTGTATTGCTGAGTTGCTTTAAAAACTACTTCTGTGCTGGGTCATGAGAAAGGTTTCCAGTGCAGTATTTTACTGTGATGCATCTATAACTCTAGCAGCAGCCATCAGCAGCGCCGCTACCTCCGCTTCTTCAATAAAGAAATAAATCTCAGTCATTTTTCCTGGGCTCTGTGTGCCAGTTCCATGAATTAAAATTCACAAAGAGAATACAGCATGAGGAGGGGTGGTTGTGTACTTACTTGGTTGCCATGGCAATAATTAAGGGCACACTTGTACCAGTAGACCCAGGAGCACTCAGATCTGGGCATGCTGTATGCATGACCCATTAGGATGAGTCTGGGGCACGTTTCCCCCTTTCTTCCTGCCTTTCCCCCCAGCGTAGTGAGGTTTCTGCAGGGACAGCATATAGGGACAAGGCCTGCCTGATGTCTCTTGGGGAGAAAGGACTCAGGGGACCCTCAAGCCACTGGCATGCCTAAATAAGAGGGTTTGAACAAGATATGCAGCTAATATAAATTGATATAGAATTGTTAAAAGGAACAGTGCATTAGCTTGTCATCATTTGGAAGAACCATACTACAGCTCCATTAGATTATGTTACTACATTACAACAAGTCTATTATATTTTCTATTGTTTTATGCTCTTGGTGGCAGCTATGCTGAGAAATGTGTTAAAGTAGAAAATACGTTCCAGACCAATTGTCTCCAGAACAGCTGTTTGTACTTCCCTCTGTAGCCACTCTTCCTCTTTTAGTGATCTGTGCATTTCCTCTTTTACCCCAGATGGACTTATGTTGCCTTCCTGTCACTCACTTGACTCTCTCTTGTTGCCAGACCCTCTTAGGTCTCAGTTGCTGCCACCTTTGCTCTGTGTCCTTCTGCATCCATGTGGTTCCCAGTCTTCTTTTTTACCCATTTTTTCTTCCTAGCTTTTGCCTAGATTGATTGACTCCCACCCTTCTTCCTCACTAGTTTTTTGCCCTCCACCACCCTGCTTTTCTCTCTGCCTTGGCAGCCAAATTTCCTTGCCATTCATCTATCATTTTCCCTGCACGTGTCTCAGTCCCAATTTTCCCCTTTTCATTATTCTTTTTTATTTTTTTTTCCTTCCCTGTTTTCACAGTATTCACCTTTCCCATTTTGGGGTTCAGTAAAAGCATCTCTGACAAAAAGCTCTTTCCTGTTTCATGTCAAGGCTTTTTCAAAGATTAGAGGTACTAAAACTTTTCAAAGAAAAAGGATGCCAAGACCTTTTCACTTGGGCAGGGATAGGCATTTTTCTTTGGCTTTATTTTCAGAAATATATGCAGTGCATTAATGGAGGTGCTGAAAATGAAATTTAGCACAAGGCTGCATATTTAAACAGTTGAAAATGGCTCTGAGAAAGCAAAGTGCCAGACAGCTTTAGTAAGCAGTGCTGCTGCCAGCCTCACCTGTTACTCATCATCAGGAAATACCATTACTGTCTTCCAAGTGCTTTTTCTCAGCATGTTGGCAAATACATACTCTTGGAAGATCATATTGATATCATATTGATACTGCAAATTTTGCAAGGCTCTCATTAAGGCACAGTTGTACAAGGAGAAGGAGCTGGGTGAGTAGGGAACTGCTGCCTGCCTTGGCATCTTGGAAGAGGATGTTTGGGAGTGAGAGCCTTACTATGGAAGTAGGCATTATTTGGGAGTCCCTTGATGTTAGGACTGCACGTATGCATGTGCATACACATCCAAACAATCCTTGCTCCAAAACTAGTTCTGTATAAATAAAGACATCTCATAAATTACAGGAGCCTTTATCACCCTAGCCTTTCACTTTTACAGAGGTGTCAGATTGGAATGCTGATATCCAGAAGACAGCTGGCAGTGCTGCATAACATTTGCAACTGTTGAAATAGTTTTTGGGATGCTTAATGAGGAAACTCAGAGAGCAGTTCCACCAACCTTATATTGTCTATGGTCTGTCATGACCCCCAGTGAGTTAATAAAAATAATTCTTTCATGCTGGGAAAAAAATGGAAGAGAAAATGAGCTGCATAAGATTTGTCTGTGACATTTAAAGTCTAAGTCTGAGTTTGTCTGCGTAATTTATCTTTGGGTATTTGCAGGAGGCAGAGCAGGAGAATATGAATGAGAGAAAGAAATGAGATCTCAATTGTGTCTGAGCTTTCTGATGAAGAGAATTTCTGGTGACTCCATCTGGCTAGAAGGTCTATCTATGTGATCTCTTCTCCGGCAGATGGAAGGTAACACTAGGAAGAGTCCTTTGATTATCAAAGCATGGGAATGGCTCCAGTGCAGTATCACCCTGAGACACCTCTTTCTTTCAGAGTGACAAGTGATGTTTCTGAGATGTTAGAGCTGATTTCCCCCTGCTGCACTGAACATGTGTATGCCAGATTTTCTTTGGCAATATTAAACCTATCCACCTTGCTTGTCTCTTGCTGGTGAGAAAAGCAATGAAAATACAAGGTATCTGTGTAGACAGCGTAGTGAATACAAAGAGGATGCATTTATCCCCTTCATTAATATAGAACAATATGTGTTTGGTTTTTTTTACAAAAGTGCCTAGTTTCTTGGAGTTTCAGTGAACTACTTTTTGAAATACATAAAGGATGATTAGACTGACATTAACTGAAGTCTTTCTTTGAACATAGAGGCTCTCTCTCCAAGAACGTAGCTGTTTTTTTTCCCCACTGCTTTTGGCTTTCTACTTGCACATGTCTGCAACATCCCACTAAGTATTCTCACACGTCCATCAAATTTCACCTTGCAACATGCAGTGTTGATGAATGAACCTACTGCAGTCTTCCATTCAGACCTTTCCAGACCTGAGGAAGGGCTACTTTCCCCATCTACTCTGCCCTGGTGAGGCCACATCTGGAGTACTATGTCCAGTTCTGGGCTCCACAGTTCAATAAAGAAGCAAAACTTCTAGAGAGAGTCCAGTGGAGGGCCGCAAAGATGATAAGGGCCTTGTAGGGAAAGGAGGAGAGACCTGGGACTGCTCATTCTGGGGATGAGAAGACTCAGAGGGGATCTTATCAACGCCTGTAAATATGTACTGGGTGGAAGTCAAGTGGAGGGGACCAGGCTTTTTGCAATGGTCCCCAGCAACAGAACAAGGGGCACAAACTGAAACATAAGAACTTCCTTATGAACATGAAGAAAAACTTATTTGAGAGTGACATAACACTGGAATAAGGTACTAAGTTTGAGGAGTTTTCTTCTCTGGAGATAATTAAAACCCTCCTGGATGCTTTCCTCTGTAGCCTGCTGTAGGGAACCTGCTTTAGCAGGGTGATTGAACTACATGATCTCCGAGGTCTCTTCCAGCTAATTTAATTCTCTGATTCTGTAGTTTTTAACAATAACATTCAGCTTATTCTTATGAGTATCCAAAGATAATTAATGGAGCCTTCTGTTAATTGCATACCACTTCAGTGTCAGAAGGTGTCTGTGAGTGTCTGTGCTTGCTTGGAGATAGAAAAGAGTAAGCAGCCGTGGGAGCCGTGCTTCAGCAGAATTTCCTCTGGTGTCTGAGAAGATATATGCTGGGGAAGACAGCCTCTACCCTTTTGTGCCTGTATTGGCCTCTGTCATCACTCTCCTTGCTCCGGTGGAGGTTAGGAGAAGTTGTTTGAGGTAGTTCCTTCCTACACACAAATTATATCTTTCCCAGCTTACCCATACCAAACCACTGCAGTTTGGAGTCGAGAGTGAGTGGTCTGAGCTACACCTCCAGCCAAGTTAATAAAGATGCATATAGGTCATCTTTGGTGATGGGAATACTTATGAGAAATGTCTGCCCATATGACTCATATGAGAAGGACGTGGAGCAGAGTCCAGAGGAGGGCCACTAAGATGATCAGAGGGGTGGAGCACCTCTCCTGTGATGAAAGTTTGAGGGTGTTGGGCTTGTTTAGCTTGAAGAGAAGGCTCTGGGGAGACCTTATTGCAATCTTCTGATACTTGAAAGGAGGTTACAAGCAGGAGGGAAACCAACTTTTTACTCAGGTAGATATTGATAAGACAAGGGGTAGTGGATTTAAACTGAAAGAGGGGAGTTTTGGGTTAGATGTTAGGAAGAAATTCTTCACTCAGAGGGTGATGAGGCTCTGTAACAGGCTGCCCAGAGAAGCTGTGGATACCCATCCCTGGATGCATTCAAGGCCAGGCTTGATTCCCAGACAATGACCTAGTGGTTGGCAACCCTGCCCATGGCACAGGGGTTGGAATTAGATGATCTTTAAGGTCCTCTCCAATCTATGCCATTCTATAATTCTATGACTCTTAATAGATGGCTTTGCCTCTTTATCCCTGATTTTTTCTTTGCTGTTCATGTTGTCCCCCTTGATGCTCTCTGATTTTTTTCTTGGCATAACATTCATTTTGATTTTGTATCTGATAGCATTATTATTTTATCAAATAGCGTGATAAATTGTTACAGCTATCCTGCCTAGAAGCCAAAGCAATGATGCCTTCTAATGGCACACTTTACCTCTGCTGCGTTATCGCTGCCCATTTCATTATTTGCACGTTGATTACAGCTATGCTTCTCAAGGGCTATGAAATATTCAGCAGTGTGGAGTACTTCAAGTGCATCACAGTCCTCACAACCAGACACCTGCCCTCAAAGGCAGGGAGGAACCAAAACCTTTGCAGATTTAAAACTGATGTAAAAAATCCTACTTTGCCTTTGCTTTCCCTGCACCACTGGCTGGAGATGCATGCTAATTAAAAGTTGCCACTTTTCTTGCACTTGTGATTAGATGGGTAGAGAATAAGAATAAATACACAGCGAATGTATTTCTACCATATTTAACAGGCTATGACAAAGAAGGAAGGAAGCGTTGTGGTAAAACTGGTGTCTGTGTGTCGCTGTGAAGCAGCTGGCATTATGGGTGGAGTTGAGAAAAAAGCTGTGTGTTAAGGGCAAAAATGAGCACTGCGGGTCATTTTCTCACGCTTTGTCTCTCTGTGGGAGTAACCAGCAATGATTGACTGAAATGGGCAATATTTTACCAAGTAGGAAGCAGATACAAATTTTATAAACAGGATACTTCATCATTAAAGAAAAGAAACAATTGCATTGACCTTGACACTGAATGAGTAAGGCCAGCATTGTGATAATTGAGAATGTAACCAAGCAACAGTTCTGTAGTCACTTGCACTGCATGATTTTTTATAGAGCGTGCCAGTAATGGGGAGGCCTGAATCAGCAAAACAGCTGGTTAATGCTTACAAAAAAGGAAATTATTTCTTTGTGCAGGGGGTTTGAGTTGTAATACGTGCTTATGATGATTGTAATTTGGTCTTACGTCAAAAGAAAGTAATTGAATCAGTATATCCTTCTGAGCAGGCAGTTAGCCCGGCAGTATCCCTCATTTCTTAAGCTGCTTTAGAAACGTAAGTCTGTTCTAAAAACTAGTGCTGTAGAAGAGATGGTATATTCCTTCAGAACTAGCCTATTTTATATCCATTTCAGTTTACTTTGGCAGTAATTAGACTTCCCAATCCTACTGGTTTTAACTAGCCTCTGCTTGGAAAACTGGACTGCAGTTTTAACTAATGTAGTTTTGAAAGCCATTCAAATAAGTTATTGCAACCAACCACTGAAGGTGTGCTCTAACTTCATTTTAAACTAGTCTTCCAATACTACTACAAGACAGTTCCCTACAGAGTTAAAGGTGGAAGACTTTTTACATCTGGAATAAGCATCCAGGAAAAGAAAAGTATTTACTTCTACCTAAGTCAATTTACAATCCAAATTAGTTAAATTTGGATTAGTTAAATTTGGCAGCCACGTGGCCACCACATTATCCCATATCTAGAAGTATGCACTGAAAGGCTGGTGCTGATGGAAACCTGCAACCTCCACTCCTTTCTTTATGCTTAGCAGATCTCTCATCGCTGCCTTCAATTCTTTCTTTGTAGATACCAGACCAGTACAGTCACTAAGTAACAGTGAGTTTCTGGGCACAATAAAATGCAGAAAGCACTGCAGGATACTGTCACTGCATGGGTATAAACTACTAATTACTAGTTTAGTCTATGAAATCTATGTTACTGTGGACATTATATAGACAAGATAATAAGGATTTCAAAATTGAGTCTAACATCTTTGGAAGAACTTTGAAAGTCAGAGATTTTAATAAAAATAATGAGAATGAGTTAAAAAACGACATTAGTTAGTCTGGGGTATTTCAAATAAAGAAGGAAAAACTTTTTCTAAAAGTATTTTTCTTTGAAATTGATTCTAAATTCAAAGTAACAGGAGATAATGTATATTCTCTGATATATTCTCATAGCATGGCATAATTGAGCTATGTTCAGAGTTGTGAAAATTTCTTCTTTTTTTTTTTTACCTAGGAGGAAGCATTTGTTGATACTGTCCATCACTGGAACATCAAGCTCTACAGAGACTTTTAAGGTAATTATTTATCTGATTCCCTTTTGTTCCCTGTGGTGGTCAGCTTGGCTTTAGTTCGGCTTTATGACGACGCCCTCGATTTATGAACAATGTGATGTTAAGGATTGACATTGGGTAGCAGCAATATTATACGTAGATTTTACAGAAGCCTTTGCTTATAGTTGCATGAGCCATGATTTGCTGAGTGTTTGTGTATAAAATAAAGACATGATACATTCTGAAAATACAGTTGTTTCTACGTCTTAAGAAGCAGTATTACCATTTTCAGCCAAAAGACTTGAAATCAACTGGATATGTTTTTGATATGCTTATTTAAAAAGCCTTTCCTTATCTCTCATCTCCTGCCCTGGTGCTGGGTGATTTGGTTGGTAGGTCTCTTTTGCAAGAGCAAACCAATGGCTGCCTATCAGAGTCTGTCATCTTTGCTTACTTTACCAAGTTCTTAAAAGCTGCTTCTGCTGCTGTGAGTACTGTAGATGCTGCAGATCTGTACATTGTGTTTGCTTGTTTCAAAGCCTTTCTGAAAGCATAGCTAATGAGGTCTCCATGATACGGACAGAAAATAAATAACAAAATAGACAGCTGGGAGTCGTATTTTCTTTTTTTTATTGAATTGAATTTGCAATGCTATCCCACTACAGAGGATATGAAGAAGAGTGCTATGGTTATGAAGTTGCCCTGGGAATGCAATCTGCAGATCATATCTTGCACCTTTGCATGGGGAGCAGTGAGTTCAGGTCTTCAGTATGTAGGCTGGTGCTGCTTTACATTCATTTACTGAAGGTCTGATGAGACTTGAGCAACATCACATTTATACTGGATTGCAGTTTAAATAATTAAGGACTCCCAACAATTAGCAGATTTGAATTTTTCAAAAACTACAGTTGTTTTTTATTCTTGGTATCTCAGACCTTGTTGTGTGGCTGTTTCTAGGAAGTTGTTATGGTACTGGACCAAAGATACATCCAGTGGCAGTAGGGCTAAACTGCTTTTCATTCTTTATAATGACAAGGTCACAAATAGATCTTCAGAGTATTAGCTGTTTTCCTTACCTTGGCAATCATTTGCTCTTTCCCAATTATTTATTTATTTATTTACTTATTATTTTTTTGAGCTGAACTGAATTCAGCGCAAACAAAAACATTTTATTTTGGGCAGAGGACAGACAGCTGCTTAGCGACTTGTGCACTCATCATTTGTCTGTGAATTATCTCCTTTCATAGAAAACTCTTTTCTTGGTGATGGTGGGTTGTTGACATTTTCTAAGCTAGTGATTGTAAATCCTGACATTAGCTATTTTGACTTTATCAGCCAGTCAGCTGACTGATCCCTCGTATTTGCAGTTTGAGGGGTTTTTCCCAAGCAGTTGTATTAGAGCAGACCAGTAACGAAGGGGCATTCAGTTCTTTCTGTATATGAATTGTTGACTTGTGCAGTTTATTTAGTTGTATGTAATGCACTCTGTGGCTCAGTTCAGAACTGCTTTGTACACTGCAAGTCCTTTTCTTAGCACAATGGTAACCTTGAAACTTTCAAGGGAATCAGTTCTATTCTAAGGCATACCAAGCAGGTGTTCCTCACTTACAGCATGTTGATGAGATCGCAAGCGAAAAACTTTAGAAGTAATCATATTGTGTTGGCTGACTGTGTGTGTGTTCCTAGCTTTTCCTAAAAGGAAGTTCAGTCTGGAGAAGAGAAGACTGAGAGGTGTTACCACAATGGTTATAAACATCTGAAGTGCAGGAATCAAATCATAGAATCATTAACGTTGGAAAAGACGTCTAAAATCATCTAGTCCAACTGTCCACCTACCATCAGTATTACCCGTGTCCTTAAGTACTACATTTACCCTTCTCTTAAACACCTCTAGGGATGGTGACTCTACCACCTCCTCAGGCAGCGTGTTCCAATGCCGACCACTCCTTCTGAAAAGAAATTTCTCCTAATGTCCAACCTGAACTTGCCCTGATGCAGCTTGAGGCCATTTTCTCTTGTCCTGTCTCTGTTGCCTGAAAGAAGAGGCTGAACCCTACCTTGCCACTGCCTCCTTTCAGTTGTAGAGGGTGATAAGGTCTCCCCTGAGCCTCTTCTCCAGACTAAGCAACCCCAGCTCCTTCAGCCACTCTTCATTAGACTTGTGCTCCAGAACCCTCACAGCTTCATTGCCCTTCTCTGGAGACGCTCCAGGGCCTCAGTGTCTTTACTATAGCAAGGAGCCCAATACTGAACACAGTACTCAAGGCGCAGCCACGCCAGAGCTGGGGAGAAACTCCTCCCTGCTCCTACTGACTACGGTATTTCTGATGCAAGCCAGGATGCTGCTGGCTTTTTTGGCCACCTGGGCATGCTGCTAGGCTCGCGTTCAGCCAGGCGTTGTCGAACCCCTTCCATACAGTTTCCAGCCACTCTGCCTCAAGCCTGTAGGCGCAGAGTGGCTAGAAAAAAGCCTCTCTCAAAGTGCAGTACCTAACACTTGGTCTCATGCAGTCAGCCTCAGCCCATTGATCCAATCTGCCCAGGTCTCTGTGTAGGGTCTTCCTACCCTCAGACACATTGACACCACCCCCCAGCTTGATATAATCTGCAAACTTAGTTAGGGTGCTCTCAATTCCTGCATGCAAATCCTCAATAAAGATATTAAACAGACTGGGCCCCAATACCAACCCCTGAGGACCAAACACCGGTCTTCAGCTGGATTTAACTCCATTCACCAACACACTCTGGGCCTGGCTCTCCAGCCACTTGATTACTCAGCAAACAGTGTACTTGTCCAAGCCATGGGCTGCCATCTTCTCCAGGAAGATGGATGAGGCCAGGCTCTTTTCAGAGGTGTGCAGCAACAGGATAAAGGGCAATAAACAAACTGGAATACAGGAAGTTCCATATGAACATGAGGAAGAAGTAATTTACTGTGGGGTGACAGAGCAGTGGAACAGGCTGCCCAGAGAGGTTGTGAAGTCTCCTTCTCTGGAGACAATCAAGATCTGCCTGGACACTGCCCTGTGCAACCTACTATAGGCAACTTGCTTTAGGAAGGGATTTAGACTTGGTGATCTCCAGAGGTCCCATCCAACTCCTATGATTCTGTGATTTGTTCAGAAAAATTAATGGCTCTACTGATTTTGGAAAGCAGAAGCTGAGAGCACACTCAGTTACCACAGCTTGTCTGACTAGATACCTCCAAAGCTACAGTGAATGAGTTCGTATGAATATACTCGCTTTTTTTTTTACTATCCACACATAGTGCAGAGATGCTTCAGTCCAGATCTTGTGCACACATGAAGTACATAAATATAATTGGTGTATAATTGATGGAGGCATTGCTTTTTGGTAGTAACTTTCTTTAAAAAGAACATAGAAATCAACAAACTTCACCAGGCATCTTTTTTAAAGATAAAATCCATATGAAATGAGTTTAGTATCACACATGCTTCTGGTGCCTTTGGAAGCCAAAGGTTTGTGATAGTTGTCTTTAATCTCCCAAAGATGAAGCCTTGTAGTTCTGAATTTCTATTCTCAACAATACTCAAACCTGGAAATGAAACACCTCTGCAAGGTTGAGGGGGTTTTCTTTCTGTTTCCTATTGAATCACTCATCATTTTGGAAATTTCTGTTTGCAATAAGAGTGGGTTGATGTTTCTAAAGGACCTGGATATGCTGAGCTTGCACAGGAAATTGGGAATTGTGAGCAACTTATCATGCACTGTAATACTCTATCAGTATTAGAAAGCCAGACAGCATAATCAGAGCAGAGCTGTAGGTCCAGTGATATTTTTTCCTTTTTCCTCAGTGCAAAAAAGTTGGGGATGTCGGAGCTGAAAGGAAGGATTGATGTTGGTGAGATTTAGGGTCTTTTAAAAATCTGGATTTATTTCTGTCTCACACCACCCAGAAACAGCTGTTTGGCCTTGAGTGAGGCTGAGCGGTGAAGACAGGATCCTTTCAGCAAGCTGCTGCTGGAGGAATAGCAGCAAACTGCGCCCTGGTCACGGGGGATTTTTGACTATGTAAAAACCAACCAACCAACTCCAGTCACATGGCAGCTGTGGTTTGGAGGGTGGCTGAAGGGTGTTCAGGAAGTGAGGAAGTCAAATGATAAAGGAGGTGGGTGAGCGGGGGACTTCTTTCAAATCTTCACTCCACAGAGGAGCTCTCGCAGTGTGAAAGCACGCCTCAAGGTGCCTCAGTGCCTGGGCGGAACAGTCTGGGTATTTTGCTGGTGTTCTTCCCCTGGGTGGTTGTGTGTCTGGCACACCAAGCTGGGGAGATTACAGGCAGTATTCTCCCACTGACATTACGGTGTCAGTTGTAGTAAGCATCACTATTCATTCAATATGTCATAAAAGCATTTTTGGACAATTTCTGTCATGCTGTATTTTACATATAATCACGTATCAGAGCTTCCTCTCCATGTCTTTAGCATTTCACTTCTTCCGATTTGTTAAAACAGGTGATCTGTGTCTGTGTTGATGCTGATGGGCTCCCCCCATGCTAGCGTGCAGTGTGAGCCTCGGAACACCTCAGCTGCAGCTTCTGCATGTCTGTACATTTCTTTCCCCAAGATAATCAGGCTTCCTTCTGCTTTCTTTAGATAGCATTTCCAGATGGTCAGCTCTCCTGGATGAGTAACTGCCCCAGGCCAGCTGCAGCTCCTCGGCCTAAAAGGGTCATCAATATGTAAAGTTTGTGCTTTTCATTATGTGTATGTAGCAGGAGGAGCCACTTTGTCAGCGTGCTCTCAGGGGGAGGATCTGCATTTAAAGGTTCTGCATATCGGCAGGGGAGAAATGCCTTTTGAAGGATATGTCCCTGGGCTGGACATCAGTGGCTTGGAGTCAGTGTCTCGAAAGTCGGTCATGAGTCTTGCCTCTACTTCTTCCTTCTCTTCCTCTGGAGCTGTTTTGAGCTGTGGAGTATGTAAAGGAGTTAAAGACCCTGCCTTGTGACAGTAGGTACGTAAGGTTGTCTTTTTTTGATCTGCATTGAAAAGGCAAAGTGG